ATTAATCTAATTGGGTTACTTTTTAAAGTATGTGGCCTAATTTCCCCTTTTTTAATGCCAAATCTACATTTTTACTTAAAAATTTAAAATTTGTACAGTTTATCCATAATCCTATATCTGGAGATCATCAATCATAGGTGGATAACGCGTTCAATTACCTTCCTAATAAAAATAAAAGCTAATTTTATTTTTTAACGTAACAGGTTATTAAGCGTCAGGAATTCCAAGATAGTAGGTAGGTACTTCAATGTCGTTTCTGTTAATGGTGTCAGAAAACCATTTTCTTAATTTCCTTGCACTCTTAAGATGCTTCGAAACTGTATTTTATTGGTAAAATCATATGGAAATTACCTTGTCAAATTAAGTTTATTTTGTTGATCTCATTCAACTATAATATCTCCTGTCAATCCTTAAAACTCAACACGCTAATGTTACCTTAAAAATAACACGGCTTGTGCAATGCACAGGCAGACTAGTATTATTAAAAGTAAGCAAGTAAAATAAATAGTAATCTTCCAAAATAAAAAACAGAAAAAGCCACTCAGCCTCCTCCTAGGGGGCATTGATTTGAGGCTCACCTTACAAAAGGCAAAAAAGAGACTAGAAAAAAGTCACGCGACAAAAAGATTATAAAAAATAAATTAGGGAACAGAATTTACACTAGTCTTAAATCAGACTAAAAGAAACATGGAAAAACAACAGAGGTAGCTTGAAAGATCTGGCCCACAACAACATAATGTACCTTAAACTCCTCTTTCTTGGGATTAGCCTTCCAGTTATAAAAGTGACCATGAAGGGCTGCTCTTTCTTTTAAGCTACCTGACCTGTATTCGTTTTCAGTAAACGTAAAACAGACCACATCATCATCAAGTAGTACCAGCTTCAGGCGCAAGGGTATTGTGGGGAAGATTGATACCACCCCCTTTCACCGATACATTAGGACTCCGGATTGTACTAGCCCTGCTCACAAGATGTGAGTCGAGAAACACCACGATAACCGTGATGTCATCATGAAAATGACGACGAACTCCTCGATCTATTTTCTTCAAGTCTGAGTACCTCATCTCTCTCTTCTTTGCCGCTTCTTGCAATGCTGCTTTCACTA